CAGAGAAAAATTATTAAAGTAATTAGCACATTGTGGCTAACTGATTTTTAAGAATTTTTCAGATTAGATGACAACATGGCTAATGCCAGTAACAGTTTGGTGATTTCACATTGGCACCCTGAAACTGGCCATGGTAGGGGTATTTACGAAAATGGGTGTTCTGATCAACTGTTGATTTAGACATGCTATTTTACTGTTCTTGGGCCAGATTCTTCAGGAGTGGAAAGGGCTGCTGTGCCAACAGTTAAGAAGTTTATCCAGTGAAGATGAGAAGTATCCCCAAGTGGATTCCTTTCCATCGAAATGCAGGCAAAGAAAAATAAATTCTGAAAGATGCCTGTCATTTACTGTAAAGTATTATTAAGGGAAGATTTTCATGAATCATCATAGTAAAGCAGTTAGAAAACATAAGTTCTTCATTTCTTTTAAATCATGTGTCATTTATAAATTGCAGAAAAGCATTATTGATGTATAAAGTAGTAAAATTTTAACCTACTTACCATCAGAAGACATTAACTCATCAATGATATCGCCACTAATAGATCCTGCTGGAAACAGAAATGTAATAAAATTTTGTTACATTTCTGTTTACATATTTTAACAGTAAAAGAGACTTCCATTTAAACACAGGTAGCCATAGCAGCAGCTTGACTGACATTGCAAAGTTAAAGTCCTCGTACTTTGTGGAAAGATCATTCTCACGAGCACCTACTCTGTGTCTGGCGTTACTTTTATACTTCCAAACTCAAGATGAAAACCAGAAGACTCATCATCCTACTCCCAAAACTAACTCAGTTTTACAGAGTCAGTGGTATTGTAATTCTCCCAGTCACCCATCCTTAAAACTTTAACATCACTTTCCATTCCTCGTTTTAGCTTTATCTCCAGATCTCATACATGTCAAATGTTGCTAATTTTGCCTAAATAATATTCCTCAAATCTGTTATTTCTCTTCCCACTCCCACTGTCATCACTATTTCAGCCTTAATGTTCTCTGTTACATAGGTGCAATTATCTAATCTTCAATCTCCATAGCCTCTGATCTCTTTTGCTTCCCAAGGCCAAAAGCATCTTCTTTCCCAATCATGTTATCCCGTGCTGAGCACTGTATAGCTCTAATTGTGCTACTTCCTTGGTCACAAATCTTCACTGGCTTATTGGCTAGAAGTCCTAACTCAGTGTGATATTCAAGGCCCTCTCTAATCTGGCCCAAAATTACTTTCCCTAGTATTTCCAAATATAAAACCATATGGAAGCCAATGTACTGTGTCTAAACTAAACCATGTAAAGCTTGCCTGCTTTATTTATCCCAATTATAATATAAACTTTTTAAGAACTATGCCTTCTGTTGTGTATCCAAGTGGCAAATAGTATAGAAATATTTATAGGGGAAGGAAAGGGAAGGATAGAGGCAAAAAGATACTAAAAAACATTCCATGTCCAGTTACAACTTTTTAGCTTCACTTTTAACTACTGTAAATTCTCACAATAGTAATGAGACATATCCCAGACGTAAAAATAAATAATTTGGATTATGCACAATATAGTTTTTAAATATCTGCAATATGACATCTATATTGGCACAACTAATCCATTCAGCAATCATTGAGAAAATGCCTACCATGAACCCCTTTATTTGGAATCAGTAAGGAGTTGCTAAATACCTAGCCATGTAACCAGGGGAAAAGACTGGGTGACAAGGAAATTTTTATAAATTTAGGAGTTGTGCTTCCTACTCCTGATACCCAGTCTTTAATGTTTTAGCTACTTACCATTTCATAGATGAAATGCAAGGAATTTAGGAAGGCAAGATTTCCCAAATAATTGGAATTGAGACCATTTATCAACTTTATAAAACTAAGCTTTCCAAATAAAAAGTATAACAAAGAATATGAAGAAACAGGAGACATAAGTTACGATGTTCTACACAAGTTTGATTTTTCTTAAAGGTAAATAGAACATATTTCATTTATATTAGACATACTCAGAGATAAAAGAACCTTACCAAGTGAACTTCAGATAAAAGCTGACACATGTAAATAGTAAAAGAAGGGAAAAGGAATAGTTTTGGCTTAATTGATCCCCAAAACGGAATCCTAAGGAAAACAGCAAACCTTGGCCCATAAATTCTTCCATTTCTCAGTATTCATAGTTCTATATATAGTCTTAACCAGGTTAATATTGTACTTGATTAAATATTTCTGAGTGTGTATATGAGACAAGCTAGTAATATAAACATAGGATCTGTTTTTAAATTTTTCTCATAAATACCTATCCCAGTGCTGGGCAAACAGGAGACACTAAATGAATACTTGTTGATTAAGCTTACTATTTTGCCTTCTGTATTATATAACAGAATTAGCATCACAACTGACAAATTCAGAAAAGCTCTCCAACCTGTTTAATATACAGTCATGTATTGATTAACGACAGGCATATGTTCAGAGAAATGCATCATGCGAACATGACAGAGTGTACTTACACAAACCTAGATGGCATGGCCTACTCCATTACATAGCTCCCTTATCTTAGGAGACCATCGTAACCATGGTCTATCATTGACCGAAACATTATTATGTGGCGTGTGACTATAGTATAGGCTGAGCATCCCTAATCTGAAAATCCAAAATCTGAAACTCTGAGCACAAACATGGTGCCACAAGTGGAATATTCCACACCTGACCTCATGTGATGGATCAGTCAATACACAGTCAAAACTTTGTTTTGTGCACATAAAATTATTAAAAATATTGTTACAATATTACCTTCAGGCTATGTGTGTAAGGTGTATATAAAACATAAATGAATTTGTGTTTAGACTTGGGCTCCATCCCCAAGATATCTCATGATATATATGCAAATATTCCAAAATCTAAAAAAGTCCAAAACATCTCTGGTCCCAAGCACTTTGGATAAGGGATACTCAATCTGTATTCATACTTTCCCCTCTCTAATTTGTAAAACAATTCTCTGAACCCACCGGAAGATATATCTGTAGCTGGTGTCTGCTGGAGATTCTGGCTTCTTTCAGAAACATGTTGCTCAGGCAGATTCTGAGTTGCTGTGTTGGATTTCTGTGGAGTCACTGGAGTTGAGGACTGAGAGGAAGACTGTGTGAGGTCATCGGGTGGGGGAACAGGAAAAACCACGGGCTTAGATGAACTGGACTCTTTATTTATAAGCAGCACGTGGATAGGTCCTGAATGACTCTTTAGATTGATCTGGTATTTCTTTTGTCCATTCTGACCCTTTGAAGTTATTGGGTATAAACAAATGAATAATTATTAACAATTCTAGCTACCTTGAAATATTAAAAATAAGACAGGCAAAGCTACTGAGGACTAATAACTAAATTCATAGATAAAAATAAAGTCATTAACTCGAAACACAAGAGTAGAATGGGATATTGAGGGATGTAAACCACTTGCTTCTAAAAAGTAAACTTTTCTCAAACACTGATCATCAAAAACTCTCGGTTGTAGAATTCTGGCAACCATCCATTTTTACTGTGTGTATTATACATGTCAGTGCTCAGCAGTGTTTCAAGCATTCTCCATATGCATGAACTCCATCCACTGGAGTTAGCTGGCCACCATGGATATCCTCATCTCAACATGCTCTCTTAGTTTACAACTATTTCACAAATCAAAACTTTTTTCCCATTTTGTAAGAACAAAGACAACTGATTTTTCCTACAGAGAAATAAATATAAAAATCCCTGCAGTTCAGAAAATTAATTTGTACCCTCAGGCTTTAGACTCTACTATAAATGCCTGAATACAACTTCTAGAATTGGCAGTGGAGGGGGCAGGTAGATAATATAGTAATCTTTTTCTACTCCCTTTTTTGGCTGTTATAGCTTTCAAATCATTTCGTTTTAGAAAATCTGAACCTGAAAACTAAAATCATGAAACTCATTTACAGCATAGAGTGAATAAATGCCTTTGACTCAGTAAGCCAGAAAATGTTTTTTAAAAGACCTAATTTAGGGCAATTCACTTTTTCCTCAGTCTGGATTTTTTATTAGTTATAGATGTGGTCATTTTAACTGATTTTTAAAGATTATTGACCATGTCATTTGTCACTTCTTGATATACTGTAGCTCAAATAAAATAAAATTTTAAAAAAGTAATCAAAATGATTTAACAAAATGACTTAACATTTTGATTACATTTTTTTTATTTTATTTGAGCTACTGAATATCAAGAAATGTCTAATAATATGGCCAATCTTAAAAATCATTTATGATTCATTCACTTCTACAATTTTACAAAAGGATTAAAGACATTCATTCCTTCAGATAGCAACATTTTCAGACATAAAACTTTAAAGTAGTAACTCAAAAATGTTTACATAACAACTGTTAATAGCTCATGTTCAGCTAAGGAAAATATATTTGTCCCTCTTGAGACAGTAGATCCATTTTTTCCACTTTTATATAAAAGTTTTTCTACATACCATTTCTGGAATAGGTACCTCCAACTGTGTACCAGAAGGTGCCTGAATGGCCAAAAGTGTATCACCTGGTCAAAAAAATAAACATAAAAAATTGTAGAAAATATTGCATGGAATACAGTGGCAAAAGTGTGGGATCTGGAGTCAGAATGTTTAGTTCAATTCCAGGCTGGGTGACCTTGGGCTTTGGTTTTTAATTCTATAAAATGGGGGACATATAACCTACTACATAGGTTTATTTTAAGGATTAAAAATGAGATGATACATGTTATTAGCTCTGAGAACAGGCTAAATAGTGTTAGCTCTATTTTCATTAACAAATTCAGTCAAGTTAATTTTGCTTTCACTCTAGCCTCCTATAAAGTCTGCAATTCTTAAAACCCTTTAGCTCCAATTAAATAAGTTTGATCTATTTAAATGACTGAGGATACTAGAGATTAAGTATGATACAGTGAAATCTTGAGCTTAAATGAATTTATTTTTGAAGTCAAATTCTACAGTAGATTTCTGTTGAGTTGCAGATTAATAAAACTTTCCCTAAACTTTCTTAGAAAGCTCAGGAAATACGGTGGTGAAATAGAGCAATAAACCCACACATATTTCCAACATACTTTTATATGGAAAGTCAGATTCCACTTGACAAGGTACTTTGGAGAATTTCTTTTTTAATATGTGGACAATATGCAAGGCTGTCCTTTTAATAGAACATGAACAATTAAGTACAAATGTGTATGCAAAATTTCATTTTACTTGTGTTACAAGAACACAAGTCCCCTCATTTTAGTTACATTAATTAACTATTAATTATTAACATCATATTGTCATTTCAAGGGGAAAACATGGAGGCAGAGAACTGAATAGGAGTAGGTTTAATGGTTATAAAATGGATTCACCCAATTCTTTCCTCATGCTTTCTTTCGGTTTCACTTGTGATCAGCACACCTGCTGCCGATAGTTTCATAAACAGTGCTGATGAGAACCATGTTCTCATTCAAGTTCAGTCACTGACTCTGCGACTCTTTGTAACTTTGTAACAGTTACTTTGAAACTGTTGCTTAACTCCGCTGTGATTTAGCCTCCCCTCGATCCCCTGCCCGCTCCCCGCCCCGCCACACAGAGTTTATGACTTCCAAGGGAGCTAATGAAGTGAAAGCTGTGCAAAGCAATTCTCATAAAAACAGAAACAAAAGCAGGCTATCGATACACAGCACTGCAGAGTGAAACACAATGTCTACAACTCCTGAGAATAATGAGTACGTGGGGAATTCTGAATCACTCTACACTGAACAGATTATCAGAGGAAGAACATAAGAAAAAAAATCTGAAAGTACTTACCATTAAAGCAGTTACAGATGTCTTCATGAGTTACATAGGAAAATGTACTGTCATAAGAGTTAAGGAACAACGTTTATATCAAGGTCTAGCCATTTAAATTAAGATAATCTAATGGCTGAAATAACTAAATGGCCAAATGCACACATGGTCACATAAAAGAGACCAGAAGTCTAGTCTGAAAAGGCAAACACAATCAAATAAGGGTCCATAAGAGGAGTTCTCATCACTTGCTCTGAGGAGAAGCCATTCCGATTTTTGTGACATCTTAGGATCCTTGGGAGAGAGATGGAAAACAATGCACATTCCTCATGGAGGCAGCGGCTATCAAGGAGAAGGGAGTGGGTGGGCAAAAGGAGGCCAACAGCTGGAGCAGAGAGCAACCTATATAAGCCTTCACATAGAAAATCTGGGATCATTGTTTTGTGTTCTTTTATAAGATGGTCTGTCAGAGGAGACCACAAGAGGAGATGAGAGAGGCTCAGGAAGACAAAGTTTATTTATTATACTCAGAAGTCCTACAGGCAGGAGGCAAGGCGGCCATGCAGAGCCACATGGGAAAGACACTAGGGTGGTCAGGGGACAGGAGACAGAAGCAAGGGGAAAGCACTGGGCCAGACCTTTATGGGAATTTCCTTGGGAAAGGCAAGAGACAAGATAGGGCAGGATGAACACTTTAGGATGGGCTAGTTTGAATAATTTTGGTGGGCTCCAAGCTATAGGGGTGGTCCCTAGTTGTCTCATACCTGGCCCTGGGATGATTAAGGCAGAGAAGTATTGCCACATGGAGTGTACAGGCCAGAGAGAGTCATCTGGCTCTGGACTGGTTAGTTTGTGTATCAAAGGCATGATCCTGGCTGAGCCCTTGCTGTGTCTAAGAATCAGCTAGTCCCAGGATGGGCAATCTTTACTCAGCCAGAAAGGTTTTTCTTAGGTTGTCAAAGTATCATAACATACAGGAAAAAAAAATTATATATATAAAATATAAAAACATAATCATGGTTTGGGCAATTGGGATTGGCCAGAATCTTATAAACCAGGGCAGCACAGTCTAAGGTCAAATAGATCAATGGCTTTTGAATCTTGGGGCTCCACAGGGCACAGCTTAAAAACTCCCATTGTTCTCAAACTGTTAAGGAGCTCTGACCCATAGAAAGGAAATAACAAATGAGATTATGGACTTGTTCACCAAATACAACATGAAAAATGAATTACATTGTATACATTAGTCAAAGATTCATGAGAGGTGGTACAAGATAAAATGTGGTTAGTTTCCATAAGAGTACAGGTAAGTTCATAAACCAAGAGAATCACAGATATCTAAGAGAAGACAAGGGTTTATGAGAAACACATGGAGTACATACATATCACTCATGTTTTTATCCCCAAGGTAATATGATAGATATACAAGCCTTGGACCCTTCTCCTCCAGTAGGAACTATTAATATCTTTGAGTAAATATTAGAAAGTATCATGGATTGATTATGTGCCCATGATATCTTATCTTCAAACCAAAATTTTTCAAAATGTTGAGAGTTGCTGAATTTTTACCACTTTAAAACACTGAACGTAATTATTTAAAAATACCTATATACTTAAGAATGGCTTCTAATATTCAGAGACCACCTAAGCACACTTTGGCTAGCATATTGTGTCCTATCAATACATAGATTAAAAGTAGACTAATCTTTTTGTTTTTCTTCAGTGCAACACAGGAACAATGTCAGTGGATGTACTATATAACTTAAAAAGGTAAAATTTTTACAATATTAGTATATATTATTAAAGATTATGAAATTAAAATGTTTTATTCACTAATAAAACTTAACTCTCTAAAACACTAAAGTAACTGAGCTTCAGACTAAAAAAATCTTATATATACACATATTCCATAGCTATATGTATGTATATAACTTATTTAAAAGGATATCTATTATTAATGGAGTCATCCATCACATTTTTGATGCTCTGCTGTAGCCACAGCTTCTGCTGATCAAGTTCTCTTTCCTTCAGTTCTAGATCTTCAATTTCAGCTTTAAGATATCTTAATCTATCTATGACTTCTTTAGTATTACAGCCAGCGCCAACACCTCTTAAAAACATATGAGAATTAGCATCCCCAGATCAGACCTAGGTTAACATCACTCAATTTTTATTGTAGTAAAACTGATTTATTTAGTAATATATTTAAAACAAAAATTTTTATACTCTTCTAAAAATCAAGCACTAAAATCCTTAGAAATTTTAAACACCATACCTCTGAGCATATTTGCTTAGAAAATTTAGTGACAAGAAACAACAAATCACAAAAATTCTCAATCTGTCCAACAAATTACAACGAATGATCTGAACCAACAAATTACAAAAATCTCAACAGTCACACCTAGCAGTCTCCTAATGTGGACTGACTGAGGAGCTGGAGAAAGAAATTGCAACCTTTTAGAATTTTGACAGAATTTTAAAAAAAAAAACCAACCCTCTAAGGAGGGGACACATTTGAAGAACAGAAAGTATTTGTTACATTCAAACATACAACCAGGCAACAGTTAATAAATAACAACATGCATTTCAATCAATTATTATTTACAAGGTACATATTCCTATGCATAAGACACAGTTCCTGTTTCAAGGAGTTTATATTATTTGGGAAGATAAAGGCTTAGGCAGAAAGGGATTAATAATACAAAGCAGTAGCTATGTATGCCAAATGAGTAGCTTGAGGGAGAAAGTAAGATTTGAACTTTAAGAGTGAAAATTCAACAACCAAGAAAGTGAGGGAACATCCCAACACAAGGGCGACATATACAAAGGCCCAGAGAAGTGTGTCCAGGGGAACCTAATGAGCCAGGTGGGACTAGAGCAGAGTGCTGAAATAGAGGATTTAGGAGAGAGAAATATTGGAAAAGTCAGATTTTTACAGAGCAAAGGGAAGAAAAATAAAGGTTTTAGAATAGAGTGCTGGTCTGTAACTTACTTCCACTGGATACTATTTTTTGACTTTTTTTCAATCAGGTCAATTCCTTCTAAGACATTGGTGATATCATAAATTCTTCTTTTTTGCCTCACAGCCAAAGTATCTGCAGCCTGTTTAGGAGAAACAAAGAAGGAAAACAATGAAATAAAAAGGCAATTCATATTTTAGAGCCAAAAAGAGTTGATTATTAAGTTCACAGCATGAGAGTCCAATCCCAAATTTGACCCAGTCAGTTGCTTGGGGACAATGGCTGGGTATGTTCAAAGCATCTCCCAAACACTGCAAATACCAAAGAAATTATTCTCTTTAAAAGCTAGCAGATGTTGGAACAGAAAAAGACAAAATTAAGGTCATGACACAAAGCCCACAAAAATAAAAGAACACAGTAAGAATCCTTCACATCACCTTATGGACTAATCCCGCAGAGGAGCTACTAATTGTCTATCATGTCACCTCCTATCTTATTTCTCTGTTCATAAACAGTATCATCTAAAGATGACCTTACTTATTTTTTGAAACTTCGAAAAATTATATCTCAGCAATTTACCTTGGTAATGAAGACACTTGGAGAATTCTGAATTATACACACACTTGTAATACCTTGAAATAACTATCTGCGTTTTTAAAACTCACAATGAAAATATAGGAATGAATCGTGCCGATATAAGGCATAAAATCAACAAGAAATCAAAATCAGTAGCACAAGGTTGCTGTATGAGCAATTATTATATAAAAGCGTGGTAGTTTCATTCATATTAAGATAAAAATATTACATCCTATCATGTTATGAATGAATTCAAGAATGCTGTACAGTTCTTCTAATTAGTTCTCACTCACATTTCTGACATTTATTCCCAACAGAACAAAGAGAACCTTAGAGAAAAGGTTACTCTACAGCTCTTTTCAGAGTAGATTAGACAACAACCTGCCTTGCATGCAGAGCCACATTTAAGATTCATGTAAGTAATGAAAAAACTTATTTATGCCCCTACTGACAATTTTCAGCACATCATCTAGATTGATAAATAAGATTTAGCTTCACATAATTGGTTATCAGCTCTTGCAGGGCATCACCACTTTCTTGATCATGTAAAAAATTAGCTCCTACAAAAACCCAGCACGGTATATAGTGTTTGCAACCTGCACCTGCCTTCCACGGGGAGCAAGTGCCACCAACAGCTATGGGTCACTTCACACCCATTTGGAACCTTAAGTGAAATGTCAGTTCTCTCAGTCCATTTTTTTTTTTTTTTTTTTTTACTAATAACAGAGATGATGATGATGATTTTTTTTTTTTAAAGCAATGGGTCCTTGCTATGTTGCCCAGGCTGGATTCAAACTCCTGGACTCAAGGGATCCTCCCACCTCAGTTTTCTGAGTAGCTGGGATCACCAGCATGTGCCACTGTGGCTGGCTTAAGTCCATTTTTTTGTGCTACTACAAATCCCAGGTTACTACTGCCTAATCATTCAGGTCTTCTTCAAGAAGGGGATTCATGCCTCAGTGGACCAGGAGAGTATGTAGGATGTGGCAGAGACAAGGAAGAATTGGAAAATGGGGCTTTTTGGGACCCCCAACTCTGATGTGGAATCATCTTTTCTAAAGAACCAGAAAATAAAGAGTAGGACGAGGCATGGTTTCACTGATACCTTCTTTCCTGGTACTTAGCAATTCCCTCTCTGTTTTATCTACCTTCATAGAATTTCTGTTCTGGACTGTGAGGCTGTTTTTCTGAAGAGCAGACTACTACTGCATAGTTAACTGTACAAATCTGAAGCTGAGGATTCATTTCTCACTGTCCTCTGAAGAGTCTGTCTAGAGAAGTAACCCAGAGCACTTCAAGCCAGGGCTCTGTGTTATGGGTATCTATGTACTCACAGATGATGGCGTTCACAACCATAGCAACAGCTCACCGGTTTGGGTATTGGAACATGTTTGTATGAACCAGACCACAACAGCTATTCTAGGCCATTAGGCAAAGTGCCATGAGACCTAACTTTTAACTCAAAATTTTAAAAAGGTATCTCGTTTACACTTATTACTACTTAACAATCACATTTAAACCTTGATTTCTAAAACTAAACATTATTTTCTCAGTACTTTTCTACTTAAGTATATAAGCATATAAATGACCAACACTTAAAAGGATCTCCAGGAGGCTTTTATGTTAGCATTCACAAGAACACAGAAATCCAATTCTAGGGCTTCTTCCCAGCACTACTTCCTGTCTCCAGCTGGTCTCTTAAATTCTCTAAGCCTCATTTTCGTTTTTTGTAAAATGAGTTAATAACATATACTGAGTAACATATACTTGTGGGGATTAAACTAGATAATCTTACACAATGTCTGCCACATAGTTAAATGTTGTAGTAACAGCCTCATCATCAAATAAAGGTTGAAACATATCATGGGTAAGATTTAGAGTTTGTATGTATACAGACCTACCTTGTTTTATATAGTCTTTTAAAAACATGTTGCATGTGAATTCTTAAAAACTTTTATTAAATAACTTGAGACTTTCATATTTAACAGAATCATACCATGAATCCCCATCACTACTACATTCTTCCGTTCTTTAACACCTGCCATGTTCTGGGCTCAGTTCTGGGTCTTAAGGATACAACAATGATAGAACAAAGCTCCTGCCCCCAAAGTAGGGAGGGGTATTAATAATATACCAATAATTGTATTTGGAGGGAATGCAGGTAGGAGAAAGGTGCTATATTAAATAGCGTTTTCAGGGAGGAGCTCTCTGATAGGGTGACAATAGAACTGAATAGAGCAAGTGACCCCTGCACGTATCTGGGGGAAGAGCATCTGGGCAGAGGAAGCAGCAAGTGCAAAGGCTCTGAAGTGCGAGGCAGGTGTAGTTCCTTCAGAGAAGGCAGGCAGGCCAGTATGGCCTGCATGACCAGAGGGAAAATGTTGAGGAGGGCGGGGTGGGAGGGAGGGAAAGGGAGAGAGGAGATAAAGACAATAAGGCCACAAAGACAGCAAGGGGCCAGATTAGTGGGGCTTTGCAAGCCATTGTAAGAGTTTCAGCTTTTACTCCCAGTGAAATGGAAAGCCACTGGAGAGCTTTGAGCACATGGTGATCTGACTTCACATTTTAAAAGGTTCTTTCTGGCGGCAGTATGGAGAATCTTCTGTAGGGGGTGGAGGTAGAAGAAAGGCCAATGAGAAGCTATGACAATAGTCCACTCAAGAGATGGTGGTGGCTTGGATAGAGGGGGCAGCCGTGGAGGTGTTGAGAACTGGTGAGAGTCTGGATCTATTCTGAAGGTACAGCAAGCAGCAGATCCTGAGAGAGAGGAGTCAAGGATGACTCCATAGTTTTCGACTTGAGCAATTACAGATGAGGAATACTACAGGAGGAACTGGTTTGGGGCATTAAAAATCAAGAACTTATCTCAGACATTCTGACATCCAAGGGGAAAAACCAAAGAGACCATTGAACATGCGTATGTGGCTCAGGGGACAGTATTAGCTGCATAGAGAAATTCGGCAGTCATCAGTGAGTAGACATTTTAGGCAACGAGATGAAATACCCTAGATTCATACAGGAGGTGAGCATAGAAAGAGAAGGGGCTCAAAGACTGACTCTGGGGCAGTTTAAGGTCTGGGAAAGGAGGATGAACCTGCCACTGCAGTCAGAGAAGCAGGAAGAGCGGGGTCTTGGAATCCAAGGGAAGAGAGTGTAAGAAAGAGCGACCACGACAAGTACTGCTGTCAGAGCAAGTCACCGAGAACTGATCAGTGATTTGTCTTTGGAAAGATCACTGGTGACCTTGATCGGAGCTGTTTTGGTAGAGTGGTGGGGCCAAAAGCCTTAATGGAGAAATTTCAAGAAAGAGTAGAAGGAAAGTTAGAGTGGACAACTCTTGAAAAGTTCTGCTGCGAAGAGGCACAGAGAAATGGGGCAATATTTGTAGGGAATTGTGAAGTCTCCAGGAAGTGTACTCCTTTCTCTTTTTCTTTTAACAGTGGGAGCTATTTCAACATGTGAGTATGCTGATAGGAATGATGTGGTAAAAGCAGAAAGATCATTTACCATGGGGAAAAGAAATGGGACAATTGCTAAAGAGATGGTAGGCAAGGGGGGATGTGAATCAGACAAGCTGAGGATTGGCCTTAATAACAGGGCATGTGAATAACTGAAGTTCAGCAGAGTACCTGGGTGCAGACATAGGTACATCAGTAGATAAGGTCAGGAGAGAGGTTAGACATTTCTTTCTGGTGCTTTTTATTTTCTCATCAGCATTGGGGGTGGGGGGGTGGGAATGGAAGTGGGGGTAGGGAGGGGACAATTAATGATGGTGAGGAGAAAGTGTGAAATACTCATGTAAGAAAGCAAGAGAGTAGCTAGCCTAAAATGAATGCTGGACAGCACCACTGGCTCTTTCGAAGTTAGTGGTCATGAATCTAAAGTGAGACTTACCAGAATCATTGTGCATTTTTCTACAGCCCTAGAGAACTGCCTGGGTATAGACAAAGAGGTACAAGGAGAGCAAAGTGAGTCACCATCCTCATCCCATGCTTGCTACTGCAGCTGTTGAATAAATGCGCACATGCATGCAGCAAATCTACTCTAAAAGGATGCATTTACTCTAACAGTGTTTGACCTATACAGCCATAAAGGAAGCATATCTCATTTTATCACACCAACTCAGTTTACAAGAAAAATAAACAAAGAAAAATATCCCTCTGTAAGAAATAGATCTCCCTTCCAAATACTAAATTATTTTCTAAAAATATGGTATCCCACCAACGGTGAACAAAGCAATGTGGAACAAAATTAAAGCTTATGATGTTTTTAAGAGGTGGGCAAGAAAATAAACCAGGATAGCTGAGAGAGACAGTAAATAAGTGCTAAGAAGGGCTTTAAGAACCATGAAGCCACACCCCTTCACTTAAACAAATGAGTCCACTAAGATCCAGTGTTAACTCTGGATAGGGAGAGAGTGGTAGCTTTATTTGTGTTAGGATTAGTTGTGGCTTATTTGCTTAGGGATGTTCTTCTGATGGAGCATGGTGTTGCATTCGAAAAGGCTAACATCAAAACAGTAACTATAGGAAACATCCAGTCTTTCAGGTTCTCAAAGCAGGTAAT